AAAAAGAAAAGAATATAGAACGAACAGAGAAATGATGACGCGCCAGATGGACGATTGAAAAGAGAACAGACGCAAAAAGGTGATTTTTTCGAATGTGTTGCTTTGTCAATCGTCTCTCTTGTTTTCGAGTTTCGTCCGAGGATGTCAACAATCCTCGAGTATGCGTGCCTTCTGCCTCTCGTCTTCGACACTCAAGTGGGAAATGTGGCTCTTAAACGTTCATATTGACGGGGGTGGTTCTTGTATCGCGGAAAATTACATTCGACGGATGAGCTCGCGCGTGTAAGGAAACACGTTGGAAATAACGGAAGCGTCGTATATCGCCGAAAAGTGTGACAGGTGTTTTCTCGAGGCACTTAGAAAGCTTTCGCTCGTATCGTCGGTATCAGCTTTCTCCATCGGGCGAGGATGCTCGAAATCGCGTTGGCGTTTACCGCCACGACTACGGTTTCGATTCGGATACATCGGCTGGCTGTGGCAATAATGGAACCTAGGGGTATCGATCGCCGTCGAAACTACAGTGCGAGAGATTCCCTGGAGTAGCACTCGATGCATCGAAATGCACTTCGGTATTAATATGCATTTTCCGTACGGAATAGACGAAGGCAGAAATGTACGAAACGCGATAAACGAGGTGGGACGATTCAGGAAGAATTCTCGAGAATTGGTTGTACTTCGAAAGATCGCGCATAGGGGATTTCTGTATCAGAGATAGATAAAAGGAGAGTGAAAAAGATATATAGAGAAAAAGAGAATGAGAGAAAGAGAGACCGATGATGACGAAAAGAAGTACGCGAGCATATGTGTGAGTGCGAATGTGATAGATAGACAGACGAAGAAAGAGAAGAAGGTGTTTCGAGGTGTGTATTTCGAGAGAGCAAAGTGAATGTCGACTTCATACATTTCTTCCGGAGTGCATTGCGTTGGACGTGTTGCATCGGCGCCTCTGTATACGCGCGGCCTGCATTCTCACTTCCTGTTCCGTGGTAGTACACCGCCGGCACTCCTAACATTAATAAAGAACAAGAAGAAAGCTGAGAATGATGAGAAACAAAAACGGGAACGGGGAGTACGATCTGTAATGCGAATTGTTGACTAAGAAGAAACAGGGATTTATGTTAACGTACTGCGTGAATTAAATAACACATTGTGTTATTGTAGAAATATTTTTATATTACAGTTTAACTCTGACAACGCGTGTAGTTGCGTAACTTTGTAGATACCGTAACATGATATATTGTAACATAAACTATATTTAATAATTTAAATTTAATTAATATCACGTTTAAATTGCATTTAAATTGTTGAAATATAAAGCATTCCTTTTCATATAAAATTATGAAAAATTTATATAAATTTTTTTTTGTTTCTTATACTTTCTATATTTTGTTTTCTCTAACATTACACTATTTTTATATTAATTACATTTTTTTATCTTTATTTTTTTATGATTTTGTATATACGTTTTAATTACTGTAGATTAGAAAAAAATAATTAAATTTTATCCGTTTTAATTCGATTAGTTGCATCTTATTGAACTGGTATTCCTAACGATGAATTGGTAACGATGAATTATTACATATTACTATAGACACCTTCATTCTGTTATATTGTTAGTAGCTTAACTGAATTGCGAGCTGCAAAACAAATATAATTGTCACGCATTACATGAACATACTGAGAAAAATTAAAAAGGGAAATTAGACTAAAAAATTAAACAAAGCAATTTAAGATAAACGTATCAGCAAAAAATACTGTCTCAATTTGGTAGATATTACTTTGTAGTATGCCATACAGGAGAGGATCGTGAAAAAACTGGAATGCAAATAAGAGATGGAAATAGCCAGGAATAAAAGCGGGATAAGCTTATACATTTTTTCTATTTCTTCTCATATGCGTGGCTGTTTATAACGTAAAATGCTAAAAATCAAGTTTTTAGTAACGGCATTTTTCCCGAACAATTAACACAGAAAATGTCTTAGAGATCGCGAATTTTATCCGAACTATATATATTAAATTCCAAATTAAGAACAATTGCAGTTATACCTATAATATAATATTGGAATTTTAAATATTTTCAAATTGAAATAATTTTGATAAGCTAACTCTTAAAAATGTGTACAAGCAGATAACAAAATCTTACTTTTCAGTTCATTTTGAATAGATTTGATTTTGTGCAAGTAACTTAAATCGCAGAATTGCATCTAGAAACACCAATAAAAAATGCCAGCAAATTTCTATTTCAAGAAAATTGTATACTTAATGAATATCGATATATAACTCATAACATTATATCAATTAATACATAATATTATAAAATAAAATAAAAAATTGTGAAAAAAATACGTTTATTTCTTTTGATAATACATGATTTAGTCAATGAAACTTTGATGTTTCTAGGGTCAAATCATATTCAAAGCAAAACAAGGAACGGGAATTAACTCTTTAGGGTATAAATTATATTATGCATAAGCGATTGTGTGCGAGTTATATTTGCAATATATGTTTATAATCTATAGCAATGAATCGAGAATTGAAGATCGAAATCATATTTTTGATGCATTGTTAATATGAGGGGAGGGAATGGCCCTTCTATACCGTCGAAGGTTTTCATGGAGAAGCCTCGTTTTGGGCATGCAACTATCGGCGCTGATAACGCGATTGCGAGAGAGGGTGAATGGACCATAAATCGTGGATCGACGTGATTTGTATGGGGTATCACGGCGCTTAATGGTGTGGCTTGTCTCTATCGACATGCTCTGACCGGAAGTTCCGAGCTGCCATAGTTAGAGGGAAACACTCTGTAGTCCACCGTAACCTGACGATTTACGTGCGTTCATATCTTTTCGATATTCGGCAACATAAATGAATCGCGTCCGACGAGAATGTGGAAATTGCGTACATAAAAAAAGGAAGCATTAAATTCGGAATAATTCGGGGTTATTATAAATTAGATAAGAATCTGAAACAGAAGTTATTTATTCTAGAAGTCAGATGCGTCGGAACACAGCTTGAATTTTGAGTTGGAACGGCAAAAATTATTTATAAACAATTTCAGCTTGTATTAATGATAATTTTTCTTTGATTCACTAAAATATTTTCTTCGATATTACATGATTCATATTTTGATTAAAAGAAAAGCGTAAATAACAAGTAATGTGACGAGTAGGAAAAAAATATAATAAAAAATATTCGAAATGTGGAAAAGAGAGACAAAGAGAGAGAAAGAGAGGGTGCGTATATGTATGTGTCGCGCGCGATCTCTGGTCGGACAGGTTGACGAATGAAACGGAAATCCTTGCCAGCGGGCGTTTATCGGAAGTTTCATAAAAAGAAAGGGGCCGCATGTCCACGTCCAGCCCTCGAAACGGGTGCGGCTTCCGGATTTCGCGACAACCGACGGCTGCACCGATAGCTTTTGGGGTCGTATCTCGATCCGGCCAAAAATAGCGATACACATAAGCACACATGTATCTATATACACAGGTGGCCAGCATATATATACGGGATGCTTCGAAGGTTGTTCACTTTCTCTGAATCACAGATATTAGGTAGGCACAAAAGATGTTAGAAGAAGCATATTCAGAGTCGTAAATATTAGAAAAATAATTATTTTAATCCCATGAGATATTATGTACGCTTGACTTATGAGTAATTGAATATTAAACAGTTATACCTAGCAAAATTTAAATCGCAAACAAACATAAAATCTTATTTCGCAGATAGATTAAAAATGGAGCATTTTAACATGATTTGGTATTACCGAGAGACACAATATTGGAAAGAAACTCGTGAAAACAAGTGAATATAATCTTCTACGGAATATGGAATGAACATCTCTAAATTCTTAAAAAATTCTTTAGCCGAATAAAAGTGTATGATCTCTAGGACACCCTATATAAATAGAAAGGGTGCGTATATACGTATATACTAAGTCTGCCCGTGGAAATCCTTATTGCCTGGGTTTTGCCGTCCATCGAAACGACCGACGCGTAGGGATCTAGGGCAAGAGTTCATCTATTTCGAGTGTATCTCCAGCTGACGTAAACGCGATCGAGACTTTAGATAAGGACTTCGCGCCGCGAAATCTACCCAGGGGACTCCGAGTGGTGCGAAACCGGTGAGCTTTGAGTCCCAAATTCTAGCATAGAGTTGTTCGCTCAGAGTTCGTTGGATGGAGAACGAGGGATCATCTAGGGTGATTCGAAGGTTATCACCTAGCGAAGAACGTTCGACTTGTAAAGGACAAGGACGTATCAATACGTCTGTGACGAGATAATTTCGTTCGGAAAATTGGTTCTGCACTGAAATCAAAGAATCCAAAGGTATAACGTTTATACGTACATATCTTGAAACGAACTATGAAGTTTATCTATGGAGGGCTTTAGCAAAAAACTGCACGTGAAGTTATATAAAAATAGAAACAAGTTCTTTCTATTTTGAGGTATTATTAAGATATATTTTTCTGTAAAAATGATACCCGAATACTCTTTTCAAAGAAGCGAGATCGATAGCGATTTATAAATAGCGCATATTTCCATAAAAGTTTAAAGATTTCTTTTCTTTTCTATTTTTTTCTAACATAGATTAAGGGATAATAGGTGGTCAAACGATATAAAAGAAATTATTGCAAATGTAATAAACGTTACCTATTTTATATTGTGTCGCCCCATTTTTAGAATATCTAAAGGATCTTTTAATGAAGAAGAGTAAGGGATCATAATTAATTAATTAAAGCAATACCGTTCAGCCCGGTTCCTTAATATTCTACTTTGTAATTTTATATTATAGATAGATAGAGTGTGCCTGTTTAAAGAGTGTATATGTTAAATAGATGTTACTTCATAATGCAAATGTATTCATGATATGATGAATTGCATAAGCAAGACCCAAGAAGGTGGTTAGCGTTCTTCAATAAATTACGAAGGAAGATTTTAGAACGTCGAAACCCCTGAAAGCATCTTACTCGTTCAATGATTCATCATTGAACACGCAAATATAGAAGAGTTTCAAATGCTGAGGACAGTCTTGTACATGAGCACCATATACGTAATGTTGGTTTGCATCATAACAGCCATATATCGAAGCGGGCAGATCATGATCAGCGTCATAACGTGAAGCCATATTCTTCCATTGTTAAAGAGCGAAGTGCATGACATATTTGACGAAGCAACACATTGGTCGAATCATGTTGTTAATTAGCGTTGTACAAAGACGATTGTCATAACGAGCCGTTAATTCACGCATCCATGCTTGGTAATAACGGAATTGTTAGACAATACGTTAGATTAAGTAAATTAGTAGATATTTTCCGGGTGGTAGAATCGTTGGCACGTCCTAAAACTACATACACGTGTTAGTGGCTATATGCCGGCAATAATCGTAACTTGTACATATTATAGGCAAAATATATAAACATATGTAAATATCACCGTGACAGGTCGAAGTTTCTAAACTACGAACTCGTCAGTGTTTCACGCTGCTAACTCTAATTAGCGTTCTAATACTAGCGGTCAAATAAACGGCAAGAAATAACGACGTTCGGGCGGTCTTACGATCGTTTCTAACTCACAAGATACTAGTCGCGAATATAGCAGGATATTATACAATTGCATAGGGAAATACAAGGAGAGATGAACAATCAAATTTACAGATGGACACACGACACACAAAGAAGATAATCACTCTCATTCTATCTACGTGTCTAATCTACTGTTCTATGAATTCTACACAGAAGCGTAGGCGAAACGTCGCAGCGAATCGCCCTATCGCTTTGCAAACAATCTTTTCGAAAAAAAACTACTTTATCTATTTAGATGTAATTTATTATAAATTTAGAACAATACTCAAGAAACTTTTGTCATACACGAAGATACTCGTTACGATCGCTCGAAATAAACTATTAATTCGGATATCTAACTATGACCTAAACATTAATCGAGGTTGCCAACTACATTTTTGGATATTAAATATAGATTGATGTAATATTTAATATAGAAAATATTT